AATTTTGTCGACGCTTAACGCGCCGGCCAACGCCGTGTTCTATCTTTAGCAATGACGCGTTCAACATCGAGCTCTTCCCTCATCGTCGTTGGAACAAAATGGAGCCTTTATCAAACTCGTCAAGCGAAGAATCGTATGCATGTCCCTATATCAGCAATATTTAAGCGAGAATTGGTTGAAATTTGACCAGAGAACTTGATCAGTCACTGCTTCTGCGGCGATGTCGGTTTTGGTGTGTAGATCATATCTGTCAAAGATATGCATTCGTGACTTCAAGGTCCGTTTGATTAACCGATGCAAAGCAACCTATATATATATGCTGAAAAATATTATAATCGGAGCATAGATAGAGGAGGGGCATCTATGTAGGAAAATAGGTTTTTTTTTGACAGTTTTTTCCGAGGAGACCATGGGTACGTAAGTTTCTTTTTTTTTGTTGAGTAGTATATGAGATGTCAAAGTAACATTAAAAGTCATTATCAATGAGATGGCGTGGTTAATAATAAAAATTCATCTACGCTCTAACCTTGAAGTGCTTCTGAGGGTAAGACCAGACCATTTCAGATTGAAATAGACAGTATCCTAGTCGTCCAATCCTGCACTATCAAGGGGGATCCCTTGTCAATGCACTCCTGAACATTTGCATTTCTGTCGCATGATAAGCACTGAGAACACATCGTGCATCAACGTAACTCATTACTTGAGTACCGCCTGGAATTACATACTTGACGCTGTTACGGACAATGAAGTGTGAAAATAGTGAATATTTTAACGTTATTTAGGAACGTTAAACGCGTGTTGCGGTTCTAATGATTCCCAAGGTAGAAAGAAGTACCCACTGGCTTACTGAAAGCATGTTGGCTATTCAGGAGAAAAAAAGATAGAAGTACGTTGGATTGGAGCAGTCTGTCCAGTCGCCGTTCCTGGCCGGTCGTCAATCATGACTGGTGTCAGTAGGCCTGGGATTTAGGCCGATGGGGATAGGATAAGCACGTGCCTGGCATTGTTTTTTGTATAGTCCCAAATCCAAAAGGCTTTTTCTCTGCTCTCCCTCCAATGCCACCTTCAAAACGCGTTTCCGTTCCTCTAATTCTCTCATCCTTTCCTGCGCCTCCTTCTCATATTCCTCCTAATCCACCACCAACAGGTCCTCCATCTGTTCCTCTTCCTCCTCTCCCTTCAGGTCCATCTCGTATCTCAGAACATGAACAATTATTACTCTTATCTTCACTACGCAGATCTAGTAAATACTCACAAAGGGACAATGCCTCTATTATTTCTTCACCCTCCAGGTCAAATTCGGTGACACAATCTACTAGTCCCGTCTCCTCCCCTTCTCCCGGCTTGTCACCCAGCTCTCCTCGCCATCCTCGTCGTCATCAACCCAACGAGAGTATCAGTTCTATCGACATGCACCATGTCTTGGGCCTTTATTCCGAGGATTCATTTGAGCCAGAAATGCGTCAATCCTCACCTCTGCCCGCCACCCCATCACCAACAGCAGCCTATTTTCCATCTCTAGGGCATTCTCCCCGTGGGTCATCCTATAGACAGAGTCATGCTAGATCTACTTCTACAGTCACGACAGTTGTCCGTGCTGCCTCTCCACAGTCGCAGATCCAGAAGACGCCTATGCAGAATCATACATGCTCACTTTCAAATTCCTCAACGCCTTTGGGTCCGCCCCTACCTACCGACTCAAATTTGTCAGAGTCATATTCAACCACAACTCAATTCTCAACTATCTCCACTGGAGGGGAACAAGCTGCTGGTGGTGGTCCAAGAAACGGAGGTAGCGAGGATGATGGGGAAACCACGGATTTAGACATCGTTCCCCGTCATCATCACAACTCCTTGTCACAACAGGGTTTAGGTGGCATCATTGTTACCAAGACCACGATTACTACAACTACTATCCTACCCGGCAAGGGAAGGGGAAACGACGAGATGACACTAGACGAGTTGGATATTATCCCTCCAAACGACACCCAATTCCCACGCGTGCCTAGCCCAGATATAGCCTCCATTCTATCCATCACACCTCGTCCTGCTTTATCTCTATCTCGTTCTGGTGCTAGTGCAAGATCTAAATCCAGGTCAAAATCTAGAGTTGCAACAGGACAGAAAAGGGTCGTTTCAGCCTCTACAACTAATCACAATAAACGACAACCGGAAGCTATACATGCCAAAAACCTTTCTTCCGAACTTGCCTATCTACATAAACACTCTGCCAGCATCAGTGCGAATGGTACCAACAACAGCCCATTATCTATTACTACCCAAGAGGCCGACGACTATGATGAAGCCTTGGAAAAGGTATTGGAAGGGAGAGGTAGTGACGATGAAGAAGACGCGGCAGCTTGGGATAGGCGTGGAAGACAGAGAGTTGAAAGAGTGACTGCAGGAGGTGGAGGTGGGGGTGACGATTCAGATTCCAGTTTGGATCTTCATACACCGTTACCGTACCTATCTTTCCTTTTCTTTAATCTTCCGTAACTAACCCGTCCTCTTTTTTAGCCATCTGATGTTACGCCACGGCCTCCTTTCGCCCAACTCCAAGCTATTACCACAAGCTGAATGTTCAAGATCTACTACTCCTTTGGATGGACGACCAGGAAGTATAATGAGTTTGGTTTCCAATGGTGAATTTGATTCTTCTAGTTCTTCGTTCATACTAACGCGTGGTCGCTTAGCTTCTGTCATGACTAAATCAGGTATCATTAAAGATGAAAGAGATACTGTTACGCGTCGAGTAAGACATCGTGATGGGAAATTGTTGAGAGGTGGTATTGGGTTGACCACAGGTTTAGGTTGGAGTGATAGGTAAGCTTTTTTTTTTCGTAGTCCCAGTCGTCATCTCATTTTCGACAGCGAGGACGAAGATGCACCATCCCCACTCACTCGACGTCTCTCAACATTAAACCTATCCAGAAGATCTTCAGCTTCTTCCATTCGTTCCGCAAACCTTCCTCCTATCCAATCTCAATCATTATCAGCTTCATTATCTTCATCTTCCTTACGTCGTCTTCATCCTTTATCTCGAAGCTATAGCTCTGGTGCTATACTCGAAACGGAACCAGAACATAAGAACTTTGGGTCTTATTCCTACACATACGATGATGAAGAGGAGGAAGAGGAGGAGGAGGATCATACACTTGAAGAAAGTGGTAAATGGGCACAACATCATCGACTTGGCGTTTCTTCATCTTCTTCCAAAACTTCATCATCATCACCACCTGTATCATGGCAACGTCGTCCCCCTCGGACTAGAAGGAACCACCAGACCGCGTTGGGTACGAGGACTAGCACTAGTAGTGTTGGTTCTACGTTTTCTTTGGAAGTTACTATTCCAGAAGGTGGTGAAGAGAGGAATAATGAGAGATCTAAAACTCCATCTAGGCTTAGAAGACCTAGTTCTCGTACTAGCAGTATCAAGTCTACCTCTATTGGTGCTGGCGGGCGAGATTCTAGCGGTTCTTCTTCGTTGGATAATCCATCTTCGGGGCTTAGCAGTAACTTTAGCCGTCGTTCTGGAGGGGACGACAACAACAACAGCGGGAATACACCCCCTTCGACATCTTCTACTCTAAGCATTCCTATGCCTTCTACTCCAAAGGACATCTTTGATCCATCTGGTCCTCCTCTACTTTCATCAATGAGAGGGATGTTGGTGAATAGAGAAAAGTCGTTACCGCCATTACCAGCTGGAGGGATGAAGAGGAGAGCATCTGGGATATCAAATGGTAGTACGACGATAGCTCCTATTACTACTGTCGGTGGAACTGGAAAGTATGCGTTCCCGTCTACGAGAGCTAGGACTATTTCTTCTACGTCTACTTCGACTCCTTCACTGTCTGCGAACATGGCCTCTACTATAATGCCACCGTCCCCTTCGGTAGCAACGATCAAACCTCTTGTTCGACCCTTACAACTCCCTCGTCACTCCATATCACGTATAGTAGGCGATCGACCAGCTGTACCCGTTCCATCTCCTTCTATTCCCAATTCACCACCTCTACCTTCCCCATTGGCTACTACATCACCGAGTTCGCTTCGCTCGCCCAAGCTATCCCCTATTACATCAAGTTATGCTAGTACTCCACCTGCTACTACACCATTATCCAACAACAGCATTAACATAACAACAACAACATCGAACCCTCCCTCACCAACAACAGCGACAAGCATAGGACGTCCGAAGCCAAGGACGGGGACTGGTATGGTCTATCGTACTAGTTCTTATGGGAATTCAAAGATGCGTAGTCCGATGCTGCTTTCTGCGTCTTCGTCTGTTGTTTCTTCGTCGGGTGGAGGTGGAGGAGGTGGTGGCGGAGGAGGAGGATCTACTGGTATTCCGAGGGCTATCGCACTCTGAGATTCATTTATTTTTTTGGCCCTAGCATCTTTTCCCTTTCTTCCCCCTTTCTTATCAACGATAACCCTCTTTTTTTGATTTATGACCCTCCCAATGCATACCAAACATTCACTAAGCTGTTTGTTCACATTCATACCAACATACACAACACAACACTCTTTCTCTTTTCTTTCTTTTTCCGCCCTGTTCAGTGTATAGTCCTCTCATCCAAATATTGCTTGCAAAACTACTGTACAAGCCCCAATACTTCGCCCCTTTCCCCTTCTTTGTCACATAAAAAGTACATTCCACAACATCTTGAATATTTCTTCATTTGTCACATAGTTAAAAACCTTTTTTCTTTTCTTTCTTTATTTCTTTCCTTTTTTTTGTTTGTTCGTTTTTTTTTGGATGGAGAATATACGATGTATTTTGTGAAGGAAAGAAAAAAAAAAGAACTCTTTACATGGACTTCTTTATTTCTAGTCTTTTTTTTTTTTGGAAACCGTTATACATTATATATTATATCGACCCACGATCAACCACCGGTTACTGTTTACTGCCACTAACCGAATGGTAAAAAAGTGTCGCATTGTAATTGAAAACAAGAGAGGGGTTGTTTTCTCTTCCTCTCAATATTTGTGTACTGTCCCAGAGAGACTCGAACTCTCGATCTTCCGATGCAACCGCACGATACGCTAACAGTCGGACGCCGTAACCAACTAAGCCATGGGACACACATATTGTTGGTAGTCCTTCGCTACGAGGGGTGGGCAATTTTGAATCCTAGGGGTGGAAAAAAGTTTGAAGTTTATTTTTATAATCGTAACCTTAACAACAAATAAAAGTTGAATGTATTCTACTTACTTACAAAGAGATAGGGGGGTCAAGAATGAAAAAGAACCTTTCTTCTGGGATCTTGAACTGAGTAAAGAAACTGACGGTATGTTAGGGGGAGTTCAAGCACAGAAGAGAATGCACCGGTATAACTGATTCCTACTGTATGGAAAGGGGGAAAAAAATAATGTCTCTAAATATGGTTAGCCATGGGGGCCATTGACAATAGGCGAATAATTACGTGTCAAGATTGTTTGTGGTCCGGAATAAAAGAAAGAGAACTATGAGAACCAAGAGGACGTAGAGAATGCATTGGCAGCTAGCCCGAGGACCTTTATGAATCCAAGTATAAAGCAGCCCGATATGATAGGGAGGCTAAGATTGTCGTCTATCGATCCAAGGTCTAACACAACCAATAGTTAGAAAGTAAGTAGGAACCTGTTAACAAAAGAAAACGCACCAAGAGCTTCCGCAACACCGCTAATTACCCCCGCCACCACAGCAATGACTGATAAACCCAAAGGGCCGCCAGCGCCCAAACCTCCGTTTGCATGTGCAAGACTCCTAACACCTCCATCCCAAGACCAAACGACGTCCCTACCACCATTCCTCATTCCTGCTACCCAACCCCAAAAACCGAATGCAATACATGCACCGGTGACAGAGGCGGCCAAAAACCCAGCTAGGGACTTGCGTGGAGCCAGCGGAAGTCGGAGGAATGGGACACTAGAAGGCAGCTTCGGCGTGGATGAACCGTAGAGGCGGCCGATGGTAGACGCAGCAGTGTCTGCCCAGGAGAGACTGAGACAGGAAGACGTCAACACTATTTTTTTTAAAAAAAGCCAATAGACATACATGAGGATAGCTACTGTTGCCACATCCTGAGGGTAGAAAGTGAGGGCAAAATTGACGCCAAGAATATACCACACGACCCCATTGATTGAATCCTAAACCAAGACCGGGGTAGATAAGCTTATATTAAGGTAGAGAAATTGAAAGAGAATTTACTCTTTCACTTTCTCGCATAAGGAATCCTAAGAAGCGTTCATATAGACGTGCAAACATTCGTGATTTGAACCGGAGGAGGTCAGCTGGGATAATGACAGCCAATGCCATCCATAGCACTAGAATGATAGTGCGCACGTCGCCTTCCGATATATAGAGGTATAGAGTAAAGAAGCCTTGTTCGAAAAAGTCAGTCGGACACATGAATCCAGATGGAAGAGAAAAACAGACCTATCGAACCGTGAAGGATTTTTCTTGGAATCTCGAGATTAGCCTTTAGTTTTGTAGCTTTTTTCTGTGTTATCCCATTCCCAACACGAGTCGTGTTCGACTGATCCCTCTTCACCGCCTCTCTTCCAAGTGCATACAACACCTTCTCGACTTCCCTCTCCTCCACCTCCACAGCTACCTTACTGCTCCATTTCTCAGGCTCCTCCTCATCTTCAGAGACAGCCAAATCTATATCGACCGTTTCCAGGTGGCCTAGCCCCTCCAAACGCTTGATCACTTTCCGTGTAATATTCTTGACGCCCTTGGTGTTCTCGGCAGATAACGGGGCAGGATGGAATGAGATAATAGGCGAAAGTGAGCGATTTCTGCTGATCCTGGTAGTAGAGTGGCCCAAGGAAGGAGAACGGGTTGGCCGAGAACGGTGCCTGGGTTGTTGCTGTGGTTGTACGTCGATGTCGTGTGCGTTCGTGGCAATGCCTCGTTCGGTGCCGAAAGCCATTTCTATTGATAGTAGAATCCAGTTAAAAGTCGTTATTGGTCGTGAGTTAACGTCTTTTCGTTTTCTCTGTAGGTTAGGTCCTTGATATGATAACTTTTGACGAAGAGCTGTCGAGACGCACAAATCAGGGGTCTTGTTTGGCAACGTCACATGGCTCCATCAACGAGTCTTACGTAAGTATAAGACTCAGAGTAACACGCAATTACATAATTCGGAAAAAATAAATTATTACTCTCGTTCGTTCCTCAGAATTACAGATACTATAACCTACAAGTGTTCATAATGTTAACAAAGCCATAACACAATACACTCCCCCTCATCCTGTTATATCCTCGCTTGTTCATGTTTGATGTGCCCGGGAAACATATCAAGAGATCAGGCAATGGTTTCGCAGGGGAGCACACATTAGTTCAGTTGCCTAAGAACTTTTTGAATGCCTCAAGACATCGCAAGATTTCGAGTCGGTTCGGAAGGGGGCGCATCCCTTCGCTGTTTCTGCAAGGGAGAGTGGGTATATAACGAAGAACCTGGGTTTTAATCTCAGGGTAAGTCCCATTCTGAACCGCTTGGCTCAGTGCAGCAGTGACAGGAATTTTGTAGAATGTTGGGGTGGTGCCGACCATGACGAGGGAAGGGAACATGATGGTGTTACGAGGTTGGAGATGAAGGTAGTGTTCCCGTTGCATATTGTTCCTCGCAAAGGCTGCAATCACCTCTGCAATGAGCTGAGGCTCCGGATTCTCCATGCTTGACAGCCTCTTGTCCTCCTGTAAGAGCAATAAAATTTCATTGTTATCCATGATGCAAAGATTGGTTTGGGCAATTGAGTTCTCTCCACAGATGACAAAAGGAAGGGCAAGTTGTATAAAAATGATTCTGTCTTTGTTGTCGTATTCAAGACCTCGCAATAATTCAGCAGCAAAATTGTCCACAGCAGACTCCTGACCCATTCCTGGATTCATCGCCAAGTCAAGGTAATGAAGTAACTGTTTTGTCTTCTTGTCTGTGGCTGACTGTCGAGATTCATTGGTCATAAAGCCCAACAGTGAGGCAGATGGATCAGGAAGGTTGTTAGTACCGAAGAACTCGGCTTTGGTTTGGGGGACAACAATGATATTGTATGCATCTAGCTCGGACATAGTCCAGTTGCTGCCAGACTTGGGAGTTCTGAGGAGGTTGGCCATGATTGATAAAGTGGGTGTGGTAGATGTTAGCATCCAGCATTGTCTCAATTGGCTTACATAAACAAGGTCTTCACTCATTTATTCAGTAGACTAGCTGTGAGCACCCTACTAGACCCTACTCCCCTTCATGGCCCTGTCTGTCCCAACCCCCATGTCTTCCCTGACACCCACCCTGACAGCCAGCGGCTGCCAGCCCACAATCGGCCTCATAGGCATGGACACTATGGGCCGCATGTACACCCACATTCTGAACACTGCGGGCCGGAATAGGTATGCAGACCTTATCCGCCTGCAAGATTGCTGATCGTTCTCAGAATCTGCGTTTGCGATCTTCCATCCAAATTTGACGACCTCAAGCATGAATACGCAAGTGCATTCATCCACATTCTCCTCATTTCACCATCTGACCATTCCCAGACAATCCCTCGGTAGCCATTGTCCGCGATGGCCGTCGAAGCTGAGGCCATTGACTCAGTCGTCAATGAGTTCGGTCCCTGTGAGTCCAAACACCAATCCCGCTCTAAAATCTCCTAGCCACCAAATTGACCGCTGTCATTGCTGGTCAAACTTTCATGAAAGCACCAGAGCAAGCCGCATTCGAAAAATATCTCCCACAAGATGTGCACATCGTCTCATGCCACTCTTTGCACGTCCATACAGTCTCCTATTTGGCAGTCTCTTGTATGCCCATTTCACTGTGTTACTCGACATTTGCTTTGAACCATCACCGCCTAGGTGCTCATCAAAAGGCTGCCGGCGTTGGTAACGAAGAGACGACATGCTTCAAGTTAGTGGGCTTCGGATCACCGAGCAAGATGTCGACTCACAAAAATATGTTAGGTCTCGACTCTCCAGCTCTCGTAGAGTTACCTGAGATCAGGACATGGAGAACACGGGCGCTTGTAATGATTGAGAGCATCCAGACAGCGGACGGCCAAGACATGAGGTCCAAAATAAGACGCAAAGAGTGGCATTTCCGAGTCTACCACTGACAGGCGCTGCATATGTTACGAGCTCTTCGAAAGTTGAGGGCAAATACAGCTTATCGGCTGTTGGCAGACAAGCGGTGCGTTTAGCTGAGACTGCGAATGGGACATGCCGCGTGGAGCATGTCTCCCAGCCATTCCACGAAAGACGCAGACAGATGAAGTATGCAAGTCCTAGCTATATTAGTTTTGCGCTTGGATTGGACGGGGCCATGATTCACTGTACTAGACTTATAAGAAATGGGAGGGGATGCGTCTCCATAAGAATAGGTGTCAATATCTACGCAGCGGTCCCAGCTCTCCATTTGTTGATATTTTCTTCGCGCTCCTGCTCCTTCTTAGCATGTCTCTCCATAGCCGCCTTGCAGTTGCCCCAGAACAACAACATCACGTCGTCCTCGTCCCATGCTGGCTGCTCTGAGTCTATGGCTTCCGCACTGCCTCCATCATTAGCGGGTTGTTGTTGAACCTCTTTAGCCCGGGCATTTGCTAACTTGGTAATAGTTGTCGTGCGATCACCAATAGTTCTTGTTGGGCCCATGGCCACAGGTTGGGGTGCCTTGGGACGTGGAAGACCAGGGCGATTGCCGAGTACAGCGTAGTTTCGACCCCACTTACTCACTGCGGCCGCACCATAGTTATAGTGCAGTAAGAGATCAGAAGGTTTAGGTTTCTGAGAAGATACGAATGCCGCATCACTATTATTCGGAAAAAAGTTACGGAGGTGTGGGCCGTCGTTGGCGAGCCATTGGAGTGTGTATCGCAAGGAAGTCGGGTAACTACTATGGTTGGGAAGATTGCGGGTATGTCGCTGAGGAACATCGCCCATTTGGAGGATACTATTGGGTGTCTGACAGGGCTGGTGTAAGGAGGTGGGCCAGAGAAGAGGTGTAGACAAACCTTTAGTATGACGGCTGCCCCGAGAATCAAAGTAAGTGTGTAAACTAGCAGTACTCATGATCCTATTCCTGATGTCGTTTATACTTCTCAAAGTG